GGGGAGCTGCCTCGGGCTCCGCCGCATCCCTGCACTCTCTCCCGCTCGGCCTGAGACCTCGTCTCTCCTTCCGGATCTGCCGCCGGTGTTTCTCTCCTGGGGTCGGGCCGTTGGCGGGGGTGGAAGGGGTTAACGGGGGCTGCGGAGTAGTGCGGTCGCACGCTTGGGTTTTTCGTAATGTGAGTGAGCATGGTGCGGGCTTTTGTAACAGCGTAGTGCTGGAAGAGCTTCCTCTTGCCGGGTGACCAAAAACCTATTTCATTTAAAAAAAAAAAAAACAAAAAACCACAACAAACTGTGTTTTTAAAGTGTCCGAACTGTCACCTGTTTGTTTTCGGAGATGACGGGCACACTCGGGAGTGGTTCCTTTGGCTGTTGGTGGAACTATCTTTGACACCCCCTCCTCCCAGGCTAAAAACTCAAAATACAACTTTTTTTTTAAAAACACTTTAGTTCTGGGATTTGAAAGAGCCAAAATCTTGTTCTCTGCTTCCCTGCAAGTTCACTTTGGACATAGAAGTGGCAGTAGCAGAGCCATATGGAAGTAAGATCCTTATGCTACTCTGTAATGCATAAATATTTGAAGTCTTGCTGGGACGTTTTAAAATAATATGTTTAATTTGGGGAATATTTTACATTGTTAAAAAATAAGTCAGCCCGTCAAGTCAGCTTAAGTTTCATGCTTAGTGTTCATCTCTCTGTTCCCTACTGATTTAAAGAGTAACATGATACGTTTCTGCTGGAGGATGCTAAGTTACGCCGTATGTGGTATCTGGAGAAGTTGTGATTAAAGGGTACAGTTACGTTCTTTTCCTGATTAAATGTTCCCTTTGTTTACTTAATTGTGTTATGTAAAATAAAAAGGAACATTAAGGTAGAGCAATCTTTGTGATTGGTACAATGGGAAGAATAATGTAATTGGAAATTAAAAGCCATGTTGATGATAACATTAGGCACTCTGAAACACGAATGTATGCGGAGTAATACACAGCTCAGTTTTCTCAATCAAGATGGGGAGGAGTATTTCTTACAACTGTCATAACAATTTTTCTAAGTATGTTGTTATGAATATAGCAACAGATATATTTATCTTGCCATCATCATTCCAAATGATGTAGCAAATACTGGTAGAATGAAAGCAACAGACTCGGGAAGAAATTTTTTCACTCGGTGTATTCCTTCTGCTGACCTCTGCCCTACACCTCCAATTCCTCATCAAATAACTCGTCATCATAAGCTTAATGTCTTTACTTTGAAGGCACTTCCTGATGCATCTTTGCTGCTCTATATTCTTCAATGTGTATCGCAAACATTGATACCATCCTTTTTTAATATATATACACACACACACATATATTAAAAAATTCAAATTAACATTTTTCTGCTTTCTCAATGCTGTTTGCAGTAGGAACACGTTGGGGATTTCTGTCTCATTATCTTCCTCCAAGTTTTTACTTTAAGTGTTCCTTTGCTATTAAGTTTTCAAAAAAACCCCAACAACAAAACCCTTGATGTCTTGACATACCAAAGGCCTGACTAATATTTCCTTGTTATTGTTTTCTTTCTGCCTGAATCCATCTGTCACTTGTTTACATATTTGAATTTTGAGTTATTTGGGGTAGATAACTTCAGCTTACTTCAGAAGAATCCTAGTACCTGATAAGGAAGCAACAGGGGGGAGAAGGAACTTCTAGTAACAGTTATTGTCTATAAGTCAGTCCTGTTTTCAGTGCGCTGTTAAGTGCAGAAAGGCCAAGTCCTGTAGAATGTTAAACTCCTGGTGTTCTGATAAAACAAGTGCTGGTTGTGTCTGTAAATTGACTGCAGCCTGCCTCGCTGTCTAAATTAACCTCAAAAACACATTACCCATCGGATGGCAAGTATCGTTATTCCAAAAATGATGAGTTTCTTGGGAGTAACTTCTATGTATACGTATTAGATTACTTTTATTTTTACTATAATATGCATTTAAGAGCTGAAACATATATTCAGAATAAAAACATTTATATTCTGGAATAGAGAAATTTTCTTGCTGAATTACTCTTGGAAAATAGACCCAGCTTCCTTGTAGGTGTGCCAGATGCCTAGCGAAAGGTTAAAAGGTGCACGTGCACGCGGACAAGTACTGTATTTTATGTGCGTTTGTTTGCATGCCCTGGATATGCACATGCATGATTTCAGGCATTGTTGTATCACTGCTTTTTTTGGAATAAAGCCCTGTAGGCTATATGACTTGGGGAGGGAAGCATATATGTGCATTTCCCAAAGCTATAGATACTGAGGAAGTTGTCTTTAGATGGAAGGGAAACTTGAGGGTTTTTTTTCATATGGTGAATCAAGCTGCTGTCAAAAGAGAATGAATTTGATTGCAACTGTTCAAGTATGTGCCTGTTCATGTTCTAGTCAGTGTCTAGAAATGTTCATATCAAACACGTTACCATTATGATTAAATTGCATGGAAGTCATCAAAACTACACGTCAGCCACTTAATTATTTACAGTGCCCTTTTTATTACAGCTTTCTTGTGTGGGTAAATGACATAGTTCTATATTTGCACCTTTCTCTCTCTGCAGCAGCTGTCTTGTGTAAAGCTACTTGTTTTCATGGAATCTTAACGCTTACTCTTGTGGCTTGTGCTGTGGTTCACTGAAAATCTCAAGCTCTTAAAACCATCCATGCAACTGAAAGAAGTGAAACTGCCCTCTCCCACCCTCTTGCCTACCCTGGCAGAAGTGCGTAGTTGCACTGTGCAGTGGCTAGGAAAAACTGATTAAAGTTCACCTTTTTTCTTCATCAGACTAATTTTGCCTAGAAGTATGCTTGGGACGTTCTAGAGGAGCTGCAGCAGTTCTTACCGTGATGAAGCCACTAAACGTGATTTATGTTTTAGGATCGGTGGAACTTGAGGTTGCAGTGCAATAGAATTCCAGTGGTGTGGTTCCTTTCGAGTCCTGTAAATGCTGGTGCTAATTAATTTATCGGTCTGGGACTTTTATTGTCCACATGCTGGCAAGAGCATGATAGTGTGGCTCTGTTTCAGCAGCTGCTGGGATCGGATTTATGTTTTCAGATCCCCTCGCTCCCAAAGGAGTGGACGTTAACTTCTCCTGTTGTGCCTGCCAGCCAGCCAGATACCTGACATTAAATGTATGGAAAGTCTTCGGCTGCTGCCTGCTTCAGCCCCTGATAAGTACTGCCACTCCTACTCAGTATTGATGGTTGGCAGTTGTTGCTAGGTGGGAGACTGTGGCAGGACTGGCCTCATCTTTTCCAAGGCATTTGTCTTCCCCCGGTTTTCCTGGGCAGAGCAAAAGCTTACCTCCGCTTAAGTCTGTGATGAGACAAAAGAGTCCTTCTGCTTGAACAACTCTTCTCTTTCTCCTGCTGGGGGAAAAAACCTGAAGATTGCATGGAGGTGTTCTATGAGCTGAGTGATTCCTCACCATAACGTCTTCATTTTGTGACATACAACCTTACACAGTTTGGATGGCTTATTTTGATTAGTCAGAGTTAAATTTACTACTGATAAAACCCATTTTGTTTGGCTGAAAGAGCATCAAGACCTCCCCAGGTTTATCAGATCTTAAGACAGATGACTAGTGATGGAACTGTGCAAAATGCTCTTCTAGGTTTCATTTTTGGATGTACCAAAACTAGTGTTGTGTCTCAACTCTTGCTGAGACTGTTTTCATTTGGGGAGGGGGTCAGGGAGGTACTTCTGTAAAGTAGCAGTGGAATTTTGACGGATTAAAAACGCATGAGATTACTGTGGTGTGTTGTGTGTGCATTGTTGGACCGCTCCATCCACAGTCCTGCCACCGTGCTGCAGCCGGCTCTCCAAAGCAGCCGCATGCTGTTTCGTCTGTGCTCGCTGAGCTTGGTGGATCTGGGTTAAGAGTTGTCTAGAGAGGAGTTTATCACGGGCAATGAGAAAAAGGCCTGACTGGCCACGTAGTCCAGAATGGTAGGAACTGCAGTGTTTCTTTCTAAGTTTCATAATGTCCCTTTTCTGTGTGTTTGCCTTGCCTCTCCTTCTTACCCACTTTCCTAAAGGTGCTTTCTTGACTTGCCTGTTAGTGTGGTTCCTCTCCCTTTGGTATAGGAGATAACCTCTTTTATCTCGCTGATGTTTGTTAAACTTTAGACTCCTCCTTGCCAGGGATTTACTGGCTAAAGACCAGCAAGCAGGATGTTAACCTCTTTTCGACTTCTTCATAAATAGTGCTTTATTTTTTTTTTCTTCTGGAATTGATGAGTTTCTAGTTTCTGTGCTTTATCGGTTATTGTACCGTCTGTTGTTCTGCATACTCCTCTTCCTCTCCCCCTTGTTTGCTGTATCCAAGTTTCCTATCTGATTTTTCAATTGCATATTTTTTGGTGTGAAGACGATTATTGAGTCAAAGAAAAATCTATGCTGGAAGAGCTCTCTGGAGGTAATCTAGTCCAGCCTCCTGCTCAAAGCAGAGATAACACCAGAGTTAGATCAGGTTGCTCAGAACCTTGTCTGGAAGAGTTTTGAAATTATGTGTGTTATCACAGAATTGCACTTTGCTTGTTGGCTGAGTGAAAGCTGACAAAGTTCTCGGGAAAGTTGTCGGGGCCGGGTTAGTTTTCGTTTTGTTGTTTCTTGCCATTATACTGAGCTGTCAGGCTACTGGAGCTGTCTGGCTCTGTTTTATTCACCTTTTGAAAGGTGGGGTGTTTTTTTTTAAAAACTTCATGGTTTATTAATGTGAGAGAAAACTTAGAGTAGGGCTATTTTTTTTAATATATCTATATCCCGTTGAAGCGCTTGATAAGGTGAGGGAATTGTTTACCTCTGGCTTGGATAATTTGAATTTTCTGAGTATGTGGTTTGGCTCATTCTCAAGTTTGTTCCTCAATAGTGTTGTTATTTCAGTCACTTTTAAAGAACAGCTGCATCCATTATTCTAAATTATGCTTTGGCTCACAGATGTTACAAAATCTATTAACAGAAAATTTGAGGTTAGCTTAGTTAGTGTGCATAATGAACTAGGATGTAGCTGTCTGATGTTGCTAGTGACCTGCAGGAATAATTTGTACTACATATTGAATAGCTCATTCAAACCCACTTAGAAACTCTGCCTTGACTGCTTGCCTATCTTGATCAGAGATTTCATGATAATATAGTATACTGGCAATCTCTTTGTATAGCAACCTCTCAGTGTTTTGCATTGCACGTTTGAGATGTACAGTCCATCATCCTTTGCACGTAGCAAGTGCATATTGCTAACATGATACTGCAAAATAATCCTAAAATCAAGTGCCTTTGTTATAATTGCAAAAGAAATTTGTTTTCCAGCAATTTTTCTGTTAACTCCACTAAGAGAATGTTTAAACGTATTAACAGAGTAATACAGTTAAGTGGAAGAATTTTGCATCCTTGAGCTACATAAATAAAATGCATCGGAATTCTGGTAGCAGCATTAATCCAGGAAAACAACCTTCTGTACCTCTACAGTGCATATTTAGGAACAGAAGTACAAAATGTGTCTCATGCATAGCCAGGAAAATAGGGTCATGTTTGTAGTATCTGCTGATAATCTCAGATGCCTTCTTTGGAAACAAGGCATTAAAATAACGAAAAGGCTTTTTTGTAGTGAAGTTATTGTTACTTTGCAATCTGTCTGGTACTTTATTAGTAAAAAATTAATAAAATAGGCTCTTAAAATTTTAATCAGTATCATATCTTTGAGTAGCTTTTAACCTAGATATGTCATTCTTTGTAAAATATCAGACTTTTCAGACCATGATAAGCATAGAGATTTGGGTTATCTCTTGAAGATACAATGGGACCTCTTTGGCTGCAGTGAATTTCAGGATGTCATTAAAAAAAGCTCTTTTGGCCCATGAAATATGCTTCAGTTCTATTTACTTTAATGTGTAATCCAAATGCTTGCTTAGAAAAATGTAACTGCTGTGGTGTATTTTAGTGTGTTCCTTGGTTAGGTCATGTAACTGAAGTTTCTTAACACGTAACGTTTGAGTTGTATGTGCAAACACCTGAGGGAATTGAAATGGATTCTGTTACCTTGAATCTAATATCTTTTTATTTCTATTATTTATTTTAGGAAACACTCCTTTACATCTTGCTGTGATGTTGGGACATAAAGGTAGGTAAAACCATCAATTTTGTTATCTCTTAAATTATCCTGAAGACTTATGGGCAAGAGGAAAAAAAGGTTTTTCAATTTTCCTGAATGTGATCTTGTGTTTTAAGTTAGTTCAAAGTTGAGGCTTTTGGAAAAGAAGATGCCATGCAGATTTAGAAGAGAAAAGTCAGAGAAGAAATCAGAGCTGTTCTCTAGGCCAAAATGAAGGCGCCGTGTAGTGAATGGGTTAGGGTGGAAAGGAGTTGTAGCAGTTGGACTCTTCCTAAGCCTAGAACAAGAACAGTGGGTGGACCCATCTCCTCTCTTTCTGCAGTTAGAAGGAAATTGGGAAACGTGGAATATGACACAAGATTGAGAAAACAGTTCTAAGCAGTGGAGGCGAGCATATGCACCCCTGCTTCCTCTTTGCTGTCCAAGCAGCTGAAGTGGAGAGATTTACTCAGTATGTTTAGACAGGGGACTTGATCCAGGCAGATCTTTGTTTTAATGTGCAATTAATGAATGGTACCAAAGGGTTATTAATTTCTGTTTGTGTGATGATACCCTTTGTCAACGCTTTTCTGGTTATTAGTGTCACTGTGTTTGTTGCTGATCTGCTCACTAGAGGTGTTGAACAACCCCATTTAGCTTTTTCCCAGTGAAGTGAATCAGAATGACATACCCTGGAATAAAATGACTGTGAGTAAAAATGCAGGGTTTCTCACCTGTGTTTTGCATACTCCTTCACTCAAGTTGAATTTCTGACTCACTGCCTAGCTGTTTGTTCATGTGTCAAGACTGCCCTACGTGGGGCACAGGATAGCCCACAGGACTGTGCAGCCTCTTTATTCACAAGGGTTCTCCTCTTTCCAAATACCCTTTGAGGATTTCTTTGCAGGAGAATTTCAAGGCACAGGATTTAAATTTCTGCTTCAAATAGAAAGTATAGAAGTAGACATGTTTCAAGAATGGGAAGAAACCTGGAGTATGATTGTTCAGTCTCTGTGACAGTAAAATTCTTTTTCACTATGGAAACAAGAATGGCTTGATTTCATTCAGCCATGTGAGTCCTGTGCCTGGTATGTGGTACTGCTCCATGAGAGAGGAGCTGTTAAATGCCTGGCAGATTTGGAGAGGGGAATGCAGGAAATGCAAGAAGTTGTCTTAGGACATTTTGGAAATACCTACGAAGTGATTTAAGATAATTGAGAGTTAGAGTGGGAAGTAATTTTGAAGGAAGAAGGGAGAGAGATGGCTTACGCAGAAGAAGCAGTAGAGCTTGCTGGAATCGGCCAATATTGGCCTAGCCTCTTGATACTTTTTAGATTAAAAAAAAAAAAAAAAGGAAGAAAAGAAAAAGATACACAAAAACCTTTTCAGACAGCAATGAGTCAAATAGGTTTTACAAGTACCTGCCTGCTAAAAGTCCCAGACAGGAGTTTTTTTCAACTTGCGAAAAATGGTGCTTTATCAGAACTGCTGTTTTCCAGTGAGGGTCCTAGACTAGAGGCTTGGAACAACAGAAGGAAATAGAGGCAGAAGCCTTTCTTTAATTTCTCAGCCTTAAATAGGACATTTTTCTTTGTGAGATAGATTTTGGTTTTGTAACTGCTTACTCTGTTTTCAAGCAGTGATGATCAGCTGTGTATATGACTTTGGTTGTGCCTTATTGGCAGTGTTTGCTTCAAGCTTTATTTTGTCATGGTCATCAGTTAATATTTACAAGTTTTGCACAGTTGGGTGTAGAAAGGGTTGTGTGGTTTTGGTTACAAGGCGATTAGCTGTCATGAAGGGATACTTTCCGTATGGGTACAACAGTATCATACCCATTAATACACAGTATTATACACAGTAATAAATAAAAAATTTGATCAAAGGTGCTTCTTCTAATAAAACTGATAGAAAAGAGTGTACCAACTTCAGTTCAGTACACTTGACTACTTATTGTAAGTCTCTTAAAATGTGATTATTTTATGTTTCAGCTCTAGAATAAAAGCAGTCTGTTCAGTGCTGGCAGACTCATTGAATATGAGTTATCCTCGTGTATAGTATAGTGAGGAGAGGAGAGGCATTTCTCCCCTCTACTCCTTTTCTCCGTGTCTGTGTGTTTTAGATTTCAGTTTGCAGTTCACCGCTTGGCTTCTTTCCATGTAGTCAGTCATCCTGTGTGTAAAGCCCTAAATCCTTTAGGATGCTTATGGTGAGCATTTGTCTAGCTTGCCTATAGCAAAGAAATAGCAGGGCTATTTCTGCATGACATCCAGCACAATACCTGGTTTTACTCTTTTGACTTTGAATCCTGCGGAGTCGCCGATCCACCAAGAACCCCAGGTCCTTTCCTAGCTTGTTAGTCTGTCTCATTGATGTTGAAGGTCAGTGTTCTGTCTTTCTGGAGTGATGCGTATATAGACTGTTCAGCTGTATAGAGCAGCATTATAGCCAGTCTTTTCTGAAGTGCAGGGTGAATTTGCATTCTGTTGTTTAACTGAAAATGTAATGCAATTAAAATCAGTTGTAACACAAGCTTATTTGCCTGCTCACTGTACAGTGTTGTTGCTGTGTTAGGCACTATGTTTAAGCAACCATAAAATTTTGTTTGCTGACAAAGTATTCAGTGCTTTTGTTTATTTACCGCAAAAGATAGTGTATTCACCAGTGAAGAATCTCTTCCTTTACAAACACTGTGCTTGCCAGTGACTCACAATCGTTGCATCTGGAATGACTAGTAGGGTTTCCTGTAGCACCTATAGTAGGAGAATAATCCAGGAAGTTCCTCTATCCGTCATGCCCGCCCATCCTATTTGTAATGAGACATTTCTTCAGCCTACAGCTCCAGCTTGGTACTGCTCCGGTTTTTGCACATGGGTCAGGTTGATTTTAATGAGATGTGGTGAGGAAACTTTCTGTACTTAGAAACTGAAGAACTGTTCCAAATGAGGACAGCTTATTCAAAACATGGAAACACTGAAAACTTTCTTCTCACCTTAATTTTAAGGACTATTCGTCATTCCACTGTCACCTTTTACCCATACACAGAGAAGGGAATGCAAGATGGGCTGTGGCTCCACTAGGAGCTTCTGTGGCTGAGATGTTAACATTGCTTTGGCGGCACAGCACGTGCATGCTGAGCATCAGGGATAGCATTGATGCACACTGCTGCTGATGCTGTTGAGGAAAAATGTAGCGCGTTGTAAGTGTACATCTCCATTGATGATGTTATGCACGTATTCTGAGGCTTTCCTAGGCCAAAATGTGCTTGTTTGCTCGCTTTAGATGCCGTGTTACCACACGATCTTACAGCACATAATGACACATAGTGCCACAGCTTCCTCTCTGCCTCCCATACACGCGGCATTCTCAAGAGTTGCCTGAAGTCTATGTCTCCAAGCATATTTCTAGCGAGTCAGTTCACTGTTAACTTTTGGGGGAAGGGGGTTGAGATAGAGAGGGGGAAGACCACACATAACTTCCATGTGTGGAAGACCATGAAGTGTGTCTTGGTAAATGTAGTTTTGTGCATTAAGTCAAGAGAGCTGATGTAATGTTTTAAAAATATTTGTTATATAGTTGTGTGTAGACACATACAGAAACACAGCTTAGAAACACAGCTTTATAAGAAGCAAAGTATAGGCAGCAGAAGGGACATTTCTTTGGTGGTTGATCACCAATTATGTTTTTAGTGCTAATATTTAACAGGGAAGTGCTCTAAGTACTTACATAAATGTTTTTTGTTTGTTTAAGGCATGAGTCAGAATCCAGATATGTATTTTTATAAAAAGCTCACTATATTGAATATCTACTACTTTTGCTTTATTACTGTTTCCTTTATTATGAATGATATTGCTGCATCCTTCATGTTTGCTGTAAATAATTATCACTGTTCTGTTACAGAATGTGCCCACTTGCTTTTAGCCCATAATGCTCCAGTAAAGGTGAAAAATGCTCAGGGATGGAGCCCTCTTGCAGAAGCCATCAGCTATGGAGACAGACAAATGAGTAAGAACCTCTGCTGCTCAATTAATCAGAAATGGAGGTCTCATTCAGAACAGGAAAACAAGGTTTTCAAGCTAGGGTTTTTTAAGATAAACTCCTCAGAGAACTAGAATAGGAGCATTATAATCAGGTAAACTCTTTTATATCTAAATATGATATGACAAGCTCTACACATCCATTTCCTCAATAAGAAAAAAATTGCATTAGGAAACATAATGCTAAGTAGAGTTAAGATTTTGCTTAAAGTGATTGTAAAAAGCTATAAACTAGTGTTCTGTATTTAAAATTGGAATTACAAGGTCAGAATTGATTTTAGCTGTATGAGATCATGTACTTGGAGCTGTTCCATGTGGTCATATGTATATTTGATATATATATATCAATTGGCAGTGGGATATTGCTTTTATATTACATCTTAACAGGTCAGTAGGCAAATACAGTGATTACTTACTTCAGATACAAAGTAGTAAAGGGAAAATTATTCTACTGCTACTCACTAGTGGATGTTAATAGTATTTTGTGTTACCATGTCCCATAGCAGAAGACTTGCTATATAATATATATAATTAGTATGTTAATGCAGTAGTTTGTACTCTACATAAAAATATGTTAATAATATATTGATGCACTAGTTTGTAATATACTAACAACGTTTTGCATTGTCATCAACGGCTCCTCACTACTAAAGAATTTTCTCAGTGGGAGTAGATGTTATGCAACCTGTAGGCTCATGTTCAATCATATACATGGATATCCACATGTTTACTAATTCATGTGTACAAGTCCTTGACATGATTGTATACTTCATAATATGCACAATTATTGAAGCTTTTCTCCCTGTTGTGATCAGAGCAGGCTATGTATAATTACTATAACTTCAAGTGAATTTCTCCGAAGTCTGATGAAATGTTACATGTGCATTGTTTTTTTTCTTTTTGTATGATGTCAAATAATGATGCTAACTTGTGATTAACAAACAAATAGAATACATTTACCTCATAGTTAATTTCTGCTTAGTTACAGCACTCCTGAGGAAGCTTAAACAGCAATCCAGGGAAAGTGTTGAAGAAAAGCGACCTCGATTATTAAAAGCCCTGAAAGAGGTAAGTTTAAGGGAGCTGTGTTGACAAAAACAGATCATGATGGACAGCAGTGGCTTATGTTGTTAGTATGGGTGCTCTGGCAAACTGTAAAAAAAGATTTTTTTTTTTTACTTGCTTTTACAAATCTCTTTTGCTGTTAATAGCAATCTTGGCTTACAGTGTCTGTTTTAAGGGGTCCCAGAATTATATGTATTTTTAAGAGAATACTTTCTTCTCAACTTCTAGAAATTCAAATGGAAAGGTTTATGTAAGACAGTGAGTCATCTTTGCAATCCAGAAGTTAAAGAATGTATTTTTAATTTGTACTTATTTCATTAGATTTTTAAGGCTTTCTTAAATCTTCTGTTTTGCTGAATAATTTACTGGGTTTGTTTAGTCACCAGTCATGACTGACACTTTGTTTTCTTGCTTAGTAATGAAAGAGATTTTTGGTTTAATTCTCCATCTACATGCAGCAGCCAATTCTTCTCAAGCACAGCGAGACATTCCTCGGTTTAGGGAAACCAAGAAGAAAAGCTCAATTTCCTCCATTTCAGACTGCTGAAAGTGTCCTAAAACTGTGGTTATAAACCGCAGGTGTTTATTTCCCTTTAGGTGGGGTGGGCTTGCCTAGTCAAGTGGTAAAATGCGAATGGGTTTGTAGAAAACCAACTATTTATCTTAAGTTAATTAAACCATACATCTGAAAAGTTGAGCTGAACTGCGTCAGCAATACATTCAACCAATGTTCCCACGTTTTTCATTGATCCAAGAAAAAAAACAAACCCTTGCTGTCTGTCTAGAAGCGAAAAGCTTTCAGTTTTTGTGTGAGAGCAAACAGAAAGCAGACACAGCCTTACTGAAACAGCTCTGCTGTTCCTTATTCCTGCCGGTGCAAGACCTGGCCTACAGTTGTGTGGAGTGGAAGCATGTGTTTACCTCAGTGTATTACCAACATTTGATAATTTTAATCAAGTCACCCCTTACTTTGCTTTTGTTTTGCATGCAGTTTAAAGCAGTTGGCTGGCATGTGTTTATGGAGGTAGAGGAATTATTATATAAAGACTTAAGCATATTGCCAGAAGGCAAATTGAAATTCGTGTATGTGAATACTTCTAGCCGAAACTTAACTCATTAATTTAAGGCAGAACATACAATTCCATGGGGTAAGATGTGATCAATCAAAGCAAGCAAAGAGCTCTATAGATCTTCTTTTAAAAACATATTTATAATAAATCTTTTAGAATACATGGCTTAATAGCTGTGTAAATAATTACTTTTAAAAATTCATTTAAAATGGGTAGTTCAAATGAGTTACGTAATTTTATCATTATTGATTCTACTCTGGTTAAAGCTTTACGTTCGGTATAAATTCAAATACTAACATTAGAAAAAAGTATTTCCTTGTTTGGCAAAACACAACTTCTGCCTGTCTTCCAGCAAATTCTACAGTTGTCATTTAGACTAAAAAGCTTGTTAATATATTATTCTTTTCATCTCAGCTAGGTGACTTCTATCTAGAGCTTCACTGGGATTTTCAAAGTTGGGGTAAGCAATTGCATATTCCTTTCATAGGGAGATAATATAATCAGTCTAGCATGCTTGTTCTCTCAAGCTTAAATTCTCTTCTGGTTTGCATGTTGGAAAGTTCACAATCCACTTCTCAAGATCTAAGTTGTAAAGAAAGGAGAGACAATTTTTTTGCAGAATTATTTTTGCTTATTCATTTTTGGAGCTGAATTCTATTCTGTAGTCCAGTGACACAATATGGGAGGGAATAAGCTGTTGTTTAGTTTAAGAAATTGATAATTAGAAGAGTGAAGTATTAAAATGTCTCTGGTTGATTGTTGTCACTATAGAGCAGTGGTTTGAACAATTTAGTTGAGTAACTGGACTTGGGGCATTTAATTTCTTGAGTTTCAGCCTCTACTCTGAATGGTGACTTGTCAGTTAAGTGTAACTATGTGGTAGGTTCTTCAAACCCTAGCTTCACCTTAGTATTTCTGTTGTATGAGCATGTAACGTTGTTTTCGTGATTTCTACCTATCTGTAGAAGAAAAATCTAAATAAATCAGCAAAAATGTATTAACAATGATCAACATGTCTGAATAATGTCAAAATATCGGAAGTGATACCTTCTGTTACTGGTTTAAACTAGTAAAGTAAAAGTTAGTAATTTTATATGCTTTCATGTAGGCATAGTCTTAAGTAATTGCTGCACTCTATGCGTCTCTAATATTCAGAGGAGGAATCAGCAGCCAGGCTGCCATCAAACGTTGAACAGATACGGAACAAACACCTCATTTTTTAGGTGACCTACTGTGTGCTGCACATTTAATGAGTGGACTTTTTCATGGAAGAGTCAACATAAAAAAAGAGAGTAGAGCTAGGCATGGAGTAAGATAAGACATTGCTTCGTGGTGAGACTGCAGCTTGACTTGCAGAGTGTGATGGTGGCAGTCAGACATCACACAGAAAAAGTGCTGCAAGAGATAAAGCCAACTTCTAGCAGTCGTCTTCTCCAGGAGTCTCGCTGTGCCTCTGTTTACATTATTTAGTTTTTTCTATATGTTCTTTTTCTTGAAGGGAAATCTTAATTATTGGTCTTCTAGGCTAATTACATTGAGCAGGTGGTCTTAATTCTTCATTTTGAAGAAGGTGTTGAAATGCCATTGTGTTGAATTGGTTTTACTGCTGTAAAGTAAATGGTCCTTTTTAGCATAAGGACAGCTGCAGTCTCACACATCCACCTCGTAATACTATACTGACTCAGTTCCTCTGGTGGTTTAATGTTTGCTTGAGGTTTTAAGCTTAGTGCATTGGGTATTTTTTTTTTTTCTGCATGTGCATGTTCTGCTTTAATTGTAGCTAGGCTTTCAGTTGGTACAATATATAAGTAAACTATCAAATCATATAATTAAAATTTCAAACAGCTAGAAGACAGGTTATTAGAATTTGTAAATTATTTAGCTGTGGCTGAGGATGTTTTCAATTATGTCCTGCTGCTGAAAGTAGTCTGTACAATTACAACTCAGGTTTTGCAGTTACTGAATAGAAATAACCCTGGTATTAGTCAGTTGTGTTGAGATTATGATGGGAAATGAGCATATTCTGTTTGTATTAAAATACACTGAGTTTCAAACTGAGGTATAGTTTTAATAGAAATACTTTACAGAGGAACCTTAATGTCCTAACTATGTTCTCTCTCTCTCTCCCCCTACCTCTAGTGCCTTTACTTTCCCGAATTCTGCCTTCTGATGCATGTAAAATACACAAACAAGGTATAAATATCAGGTAAGTACTGATTTTACAGAGTGTGTTATCTAAGTCATAAGTATCTGCATTAGTGAAAATGCTGGAGTCCAGTGTGGTCTGAAAGAAAGCCCTGAGGAGTCTGCAAACATCTGTGAAACAGCATTGTCTTTGTACACTGCCATTTAGAGGCAAGAAGTGATTTGAAATTCAGACTGTCTTTTTTCCTCTATTGATCTGCATTTAACTTCAGTTCCTGAGTCAATTAAAATACAAAGCAAAAGCAGTTAAGCTATATAAGGCTTTGTCTACCAGACATGACAATGATTGATTTTAAAATAGGATTTTTATTTATTTGCAATTACGTTAAAAATATGAGCTTTCAATATTTTATGGAGAAGTATTGCTGCTCCAGTCTGTGTAGTAAAAAAGTGGTGTATTGTCTCTTTTTAAAATCTTAATGTGAAAGATTCACAAACTCAATAGAGTGTTTCCAGGATTTTTTTCAAGCTCAGCTCTTTAACTGGTCTAATTTGGATTTTTGGATTCAAATGTCTTTTCTGTTTAGTTTCCCAAATTTAAAACAAAGTCAGTCATGAATATGACTCAGAAGATTCAGTCTGTAGAAAACTTCATTCTATTAAAGCTTTTAGCCTAGATGTGTGAACTGACTTTTTAGGTCAGGTTTGAGTCCGAGACCATTTTTTTCCTTCGCCTTTCTGTGTGCTCTGCTTGTACAAGACTGGGAGTTACAAGACTGGCGCTGAGTGGAAATAGCTAGATTCTTTCTTGAAATCGGAGTCCAATATATAATGAGTATTAAGCAATCACCCCTTAGAGCTGAAGTGGTCACTAAATTCAGGTTCCTTAATGATCTTTGTTAAAGAAGTAAATATTCTGGCAATAACAGATATGAATTGCTAGAGAAATCCTTGTCCTTGGCTCCATCTTCTAGTTATTCAGGTCAGTAGAAGCATTTCTTTTGTGTCAGTGAAGGGGGGGAAAGTAGAAATAGCAACTAAAAGAAGTCAAATAGAAAAATCGGTCTGTTTCTTAGTCCTCTTCATCATTTGGGTCATGTCCTAATATTGTTACTCAAATCGGCGGCTGCTGCTTGTAGAACAGAATGCTGATCGCATGGAGTAGTTGTATTTCTCAGTGTGTAGCACTTACTGTCTGTGTAAATCCTGTCACTTCCTCAATGCTAGCATGAGATAAAGATAAACCTTTCTTCAGAAAACTTTCCCATTTCCTGTGACGTTAGTGTAAGAATAGTTTGGAATGCATTTATGATGGTAGAGATGTTATAATGTGAAACTTGTTAATAGCGAATTTTTGTATTTATTTTATTTTTATTTATTTTTATTTATTTCTGCATCCAGGTTTCACTTATGAAACATTCTATGAAAACTTAGGCCTTTGTGTGTGTTTGTGATTTAAAAAAAAAAAAAAAAAAGCTTCTGCTTTGCAACCTGAACTTAGTAGTGTATTTGAGTGTTTGTGGGTGACTTCTTTTAAAGTATTGGTGTGTTTTCACAGGCTGGACACAACTCTCATAGACTTTACTGACATGAAGTGCCAACGAGGGGATTTAAGCTTCATTTTTAATGGTGATGCAGCACCCTCTGAATCTTTTGTAGTTTTAGACAACGAACAAAAAGTTTACCAGCGAATACATCATGAGGTAAATATCTGTGTGCATATAGGTTGTGAAATACCTCAAGCTTTTACTTCACGTCAGAAGTCTGACTTATTTTATTAAACAAAATGGGCCTCCCAAAAAGACCCAAACAAGCTCCAAAGGAATGCAAACTAAAGTTGTTTTCTTTTTGTTCAGTCGATACAACGTAAGTTGTGTAGGTCACATAAAATTTTGTTATGAAAAACAGTGCTTTTGAATATAGACTTTTAAGTGGGGGGAAAAGCTGGAATGTGAATATGTTGGAAAATCTTTTGTCATTCTGAGTAGGCAAATATGTTCTAAGTTATGATGCATGCTAATTTTAGTCTTTCTGGTGGGCGTAATTCATGTGTCCTTGGGTGGGTTTTCAAGCTTGCTTGCCACTGCTTTGCATCAGTTTAGTCACTCTGTGGCCAGGTTAGAGTATGACTCATCGGACCCCTTGTTTTTAATTACAACTTTATCCACTACTCACTTAAGCATATGGATCTTTGCCTGTGGAAAGGGTGTGGCTGCTGAGCTTTTGGGTGAATCACACTTGGATGCTTTATTTGCATTAATATTTAAGATTAAACTTTGGTAGCCATTTGGCCAGAGTTTCTATAAAACAGTTTGAAAATTCATGAAGTGCTAGTCCTGTGAAAAGTTCCAAAGGAAAAGGTTTATTGATTTATTTTTTTATCTTTTTTTTTTTTTAAGAAGTAATCATTATTCCTAAATTCTATTCAGTATTTGGGAATTTTTCTTCTAGGAATCTGAGATGGAAACAGAAGAAGAAGTTGACATTTTGATGAGCAGTGATATTTACTCAGCAACATTATCAACCAAATCAATTACCTTCACACGTGCCCAAACGGGATGGCTTTTTCGAGAAGACAAAACAGTAAGCTGAAAGAAAATTTCACAGCCTGCATTACTGGAGACAAAATACTTCAGCCAGCCTTATGATGATGTGGTTGGGAAGAAGTAAGGAGTAAAAGAATAAGACGTTCAGGGCTGGGGAGGAAATCGCTCCCCTTGCCCCCCACAATTGTCACTAGTTCAACCACACAGAGTGTGTATGATGCACTGCCTTCATAAGAAAAACGTAGCCTGCAAGAAAGATAACAAGCTGTAGCTGTTGGGCAGAGAGGAGAACAGATTGTACTGGAAACGACTTTATTCTAGGAGTATACGGTCTCTGCAAATACACCCCGGGGTGTGCAAGTAAGATTCTGTGAGCTCCTGTGTCTGTGAAGTGCAGGAGGATGGGAGTGTTCGCAGTACAGTTTCCTTTGGGTGTTCCTTTCCCTGCTCTTAGTCTGTCTGAGGTGCAGGTTCTCAGTTGTGGAAAAAAATTGAAACAGCCGCTGTTGTAACTTCTTTGAGTAGGAAGTTGCTATCTTGTGACTAGCTCTGACAGATTTTGTTTTCATCTGGGTCTGTTCAGGTAGTGCCATTCATCGCAAGTTTTTGGCTGAGCTAGTGTTTCAGAACTGCCTGCTTTTTAGGAAATGCCAAATACATATTCTATATGTGTAAATTATCCTTTAACACAGCTTTCTGTTGAAGGCAATTTTAGTCAGATTTCCCTTGTCTACTCTTAAATTCTTAACCACTCTTTTCCATCTTAAAGTTTCCATTGATAGGAAATACCTCTTCCTGATGGAGTTCTTGCGTGTGTGCTGTACTGAGATTGTCCATGTGGTTGGTTGTGTAAATTACAACAGTTCAATCCTGAAGTTATTTTATTGCACTGAAGTGCAATTATTTGGATATACAAGAATTTAAATGCTTTTATTTTGTCTCGTGTGAGTCATTAATGTCCAATTCCTTTCGTGCAGGAAAGAGTAGGAAACTTTTTGGCAGATTTCTACCTGGTTAATGGACTTGTATTAGAATCAAGGAAAAGAAGAGAACATCTCAGTGAGGAGGATATTCTTCGAAATAAAGCTATCATGGAAAGCCTGAGTAAAGGTGGCAACTTAATGGAACAGAATTTTGAGGTATACCTAAGTAATCCTCGTCAGTATGTGAATTTTTGCATAGGAGAATAATCTTTCACATCAGTAACTTAGCAAACTCTATAGATAGTGTTTTTGTTCTATTTTGATTCTTTTAATTTTAAAATAAGAAGTTTGACCTACAAGTATAATCATGGTGATATGTGAATGAATTATCCTGATTAGTGCACACATTGAGGAATTTCTTTGATTATATTGGATATTTCAGTCTTAATTTGTCTCTTTTGTCTGGTTTTGGCTGTGGCAAATCACTTTAATTTCTTTTGGACCAAATGTCTATTGTTTAGAATGCCTTTCTGGTTCTCTTTTCAATCATGTTTTCCTTTAGCTTTATGAAAATGGACTAAGCCTGTTATTATCACCATGAAATCAAGAGCTATTCAGAATGAGCCAGACATCTTCTGGGAACACGCATACAGCCTTTTAAAAACGATTAATTTATTTCTGTGTTAGTTTGTACTTTGTTACATGTCCTTTGGACACCTGAATTAACTGATTAACTGATGCATTATAACAGCCAGCTTCCGTGTAAAATACAGTTTGAGGCCAAATACCTAAATGGAGACTGTGAGAGTAGGAGCCAGGAGATGGAAAAGCCCAGTGAAGCACCAGCTACAGGATGGACTATATTGCTGCTGTTTGTAGAATTGAAGTACAGTTGTATCTTTTGAATGGCAAAAATCTGAGAGAATATAAAGAAAGATAAACAGTTATGACATGTTTTTCTGAACAGCCTGTCAGACGGCAGTCGCTTACTCCACCATCACCCAATACAATTACATGGGAAGAGTACATATCTGCTGAAAATGGAAAGTAAGTATTTTTGTTTTATTGGCATTAACTTCCATAGACACCTTTACATTACTAGGTTTTGTTGGGGTTTTTTTAGTGTATTCTAGTTTGGCTTTTTTGCTTGTAGTTTTCTGGGGATAGACGAACATGGAGTTTGATGTCTTAGATGTTTAAGATCTTCCTTTTTTTAAGGGAGATTTTCTGACAAATTACTGTAATTCATTTATCTTTGTGTATGATAGTAATAATCCAATTCACCATGTTTAAAATAAAAGTTTATGGCTTGATGAGACTGTAGTAACAGTAGCAGTGTACAAAAATACACACTTCTGGAATACAAGGACATGCCGATCTCCTAGTACTGGCTGGATCTTTGCAAGATACTCTCCTCTAGGCGCGTAACTAGGTAGTGAACAGCTGTAGTTTAATTTACAGTAGCTTCATTTGTAGAAGATGCAAGCAGTTTATTTTCTAGGACTGCGTGCTGTCTAGCTGTTGAATGTAGAAGGACCCAAAAATGTACTGAGTGTGTCACATAAGTAACAATGGTAAAAGTCTTTTCTCCAAAGATACTACAGACTAGCATATAGTCATGTTACCAGGGAATATGATAATATTACAGTACAGGCTTACTAAAAAGCCCCATGGATCTGTTTTGGTGTGTGTTTGTGGGTTTTTTTTGTTTTTTGTTTTTTGTTTTTTTTTTCAACTGCTTTTATTTTGAATGTGTTTGAGATAGAACAAATATTCAAGCAGAATAAATAGGTGATGCCTGAACAGCTCTTACTATTGGGACAGAAATATGTATGTATATAAGATTTCCTTTTGGTTAATAACGTGATTAACTGAAGGGAGTTTAATGGGAAATCTAAATTTCTAGCCAATATAGAGCAGAAGAGGAAAAGATTTGTTACCTGACTGTTTCTCTCCTATAACAGAATTTTGTCCTGTGTTTACCAGTATTGCCTTCTAGTGATAGTAGAGTAACGTTTCTGCTTTCTCTGAGATCGTTTCGTAGTCTAGGCTGAAAGCAAAATTAACTTTTTTCTAGTTCACCTTGATACTTTCTTCCTGTATAGACTATTTTAACATCTGAAATCAGCTGTGTATATTTCTGGGTAATTGTCTTTCTGTAGTGTTTATTAATATAATGTTTATGAGGAATTATTTGAGGATTTTTCTTAAGTCTTCTCCGTAACTGTTTTTTGTCTTGTCTCCTGGTTTAGCAGAACTCACAGTAATCTAAATTAAGATGGTTACCGACTCATCACTATTTTACAATAAAAGCTGTGCATAGCATTTGCTTTATTGTCGGGACTCTTTACTGACTTTTTCAAACTTGCGTCTTCCTTTAAAACCAAGGTTTCACTGAGAGAAAAACTGACTTTGTCTTTCCCCCCTCCCCCTTACAGAGCTCCTCATCTGGGTAGAGAGCTGGTCTGCAAAGAAAGCAAGAAAACCTTTAAAGCCACGATAGCTATGAGCCAGGAATTTCCCTTAGGAATTGAATCGTAAGTCAGAATTATTGGCCATGAATGTAACTTACGTAGGAAACGTTGTCATGTGTTTATGAACCGCAAAATTCTTCCTACCTTCAGATATGGGAATTTGGCAGTTTAAAACCTATGAATGAAGTCATACTGTTGCGCAAGTAAACTGTTGAAATTAAAGACTTCAGTGCTGGTGTGGCTGTTACTGGAAGAGCCAAGTGCTTATCTTACTTGGGAAAATCAGAGGTTTGACCAGGTTTATCATTAACTTGCCACAATACTGATGTGCCTGATTCTACAGAATTCTAAAATGTTTTTGCCTGTAACAAGGTTTAGCACAAAGTTACATCCTCTAAACCAATACAAAACCGTGTCGGGTTCCTTATGTCCCTGGGGAAGAGGGTGTGATACTGTAGGCTTCAGTCTCTTACGTGAAATGAGGACAAGAAATAGTTTATTTGTACTCCTATGGTAATACGATAGGGATCACTGAGAACTGAATGTGAGGGTGCTGATATTGAAGCTTCAAGGGAGATAGATGTAGAAGCATGATGTAGTTTTTCAACTCCTCTTTTATCGCCTTGCTCTCTGGGTTGTTTTTATCTGTTCTAGAGGGAAGGCTTGTGAAATGAGAACTTGTAATGAAATCTGTTTTCCTTTTCAGATTGCTGAATGTTTTAGAAGTAATTGCACCCTTCAAGCACTTTAACAAACTTAGAGAATTTGTTCAAATGAAGCTTCCACCAGGCTTTCCTGTAAAATTAGGTAAGATGACTACAATAACTCTTGTGGCTTTTTATTTCCAAAATGTGTGTAATTATTAATTCAATATGTTCAAAACTTCTGTTGAGTTTTGGAAAAGAACTCTCTTGCCTAAGAGTGTGTTCCTGTAGATTTCAGGAGAACACGGTTAAGTTAGTGGAATTAACATTAGGTAGGAGATCTGCAGCTGAAAGGTGAAGATAGTCCTAGTCAGGGAGAGCGCTCTGTAATTTATATTTTCCTAATGCTAGGGTCTTGCTCCAAGAGTAAGGTAGATATGCTGAATTACCCTTGCATTAACGATAATCTCAGTCATGAGTTAAGTATTGTAGCATTTTTAAATTTCTTTTTCCTCAAAGATTACTGGCGATGTATTTTTCACTTATAAATGAATAGAAAACTATTACACTTCTAACAAATGGAAATGTATAAAGCAGTTTATTCATGGTATAGGTTATCACAGCATAAATTGCCAAAAAGTAATAGTACCTTTCTAAGTGTTACAGCATTTCTTGCATGCCAGTAAGCTGTTGAAGCTAGACAATTCTGAACAGACTATATTCTACCTCCTATCATATTTGCATAGCTCTGTTTATTGAGGATTGAATTTTTGCTCAGCTCATTAAGTTCATGGGCAAGCCAGTTTTACTGAGGATAATTCTACAATGTTCAACCTCGATTCAAATTTTAAAAGGGTTATATTTTAAAGCAAACATTAGAAAGGTTCATCTCTCCATGGGGATTTGCTCAACTGAAGCCTATGTGTGGCAAGGTTATTTTGTCTTGTATCATCTCCAGGCCAAGATTAATCTGTACATTCGCAGCACCTTGGTTTCCATGTCGTCAGTATACATCAAGAAAGGAAAACCATTCAATTAATAATATTAACAGTTTTTTGAATGGTGTATTGATTTGGATATTGTTTCCGTGCTCAGGGTATCTGAGCATGTTCTGAAATAATCTTCTTTAAATGACCTCCTTTTGTAAGAGCTTTGAATTGCCATTGTATAGAATACTAAACAAGCTTCTACGTCTTTAGCAAGCCTGAAGTAACAGTTGGTAATTATTGGTAAGCCTGTATTTCTTTGCTCTTCATTGTCCCGTTCTGCTTCCTATCTAGATATTCCTGTATTTCCCACCATCACAGCCACTGTGACTTTTCAGGAGTTCCGTTACGATGAATTTGATGAATCCATCTTCACTATTCCTGATGACTACAAGGAGGACCCCAGCCGTTTTCCTGATCTCTAACTAAACTGGAAGGTTAATCATGAATAACAATACCAGCGTAGCACAGTGAAAGCAAATGGATGCAAATAGCCCACAGATATAGATAGAACAGTGGGTCATAAAGGAAGGGATAAACTTAATAATCCAGAGGAAAAGGGAACATGCATCGAATGACTGATGTACTGATACTCGCTATAATGGGCATCTAATCTCGTTCCTGACTTACAGCAAGTCTCCTGATGTGTCGTTCACACTTTTATACATCCAGTACTGCGAGTGTGGTAGTCTGACACCGCGATGACCCTGAGAGTACTAACAGCTGTGAGGACTATCATTCGTTTTTAAATTTTTTACATTTCTTGGTGATAAAAAAAGCACTCTTGGACCATTAGCATAAAAGTTGAAATGTCTTAGCTGGATATTAGCCCTATAAAACATCCCACTGTACTTAAGATGACCGTATTATATTCTTTCAAGCTTTGTTTTCATGAGTTGTAAACTATGTATCATTATGTATAGTTCAGTAATTTGAATGTTAGTTGAACGTATATTAGAATGCGTTTTCTGTAGATGAATGAACCAAATGGTAACCGTTAAACAATTGCATTTCCATACTGCAATACAGTTCAGAAATAGTGTTCACTCTGCAGGGAATAAGGTACCTCCTCTAGCACCTTAGTGCGATCCATTGTGGTGCTATCCGTGTCTCTGAACCGTTCATTTCTTCACTGAGCCGTTAATCTTCCTTTCATTGGCTCTGTGCTTAACTTCTCTTCATACTGGCTTGGAAGTCCCTGCTGTGTCCATGATGCTGTGTTGATTAGCGTGCTTGGAGGTTCATTAGCTAGAAATTGTCACTTTTTCCTTCTTTTTTTCCACATTCACTTAGGAGACTTGCTCCATATAATGGTTGAGCATCAGCTAGGTTACCTGGTATTTGTATTCAGCAGCTGCTCAAAAACGTGGGATTTATATAGAGAGTTACGAGAACAATAAGCTCAAGCATTAAATCTTCATCTAAGAAAAAGTTTTTCTTGAAGTTAGTTTAATTGTAGTACACATTGAATGGGGCACACATTGGAAGATTTTATTTGCAAAAGCTTAGGATGTTTCTGGATTAATTTCCTTCCTTCTAATATTTTGAATAGGTAGGCATTTCAGTACTCTGGCTTCTTGAGCATATTCTCATTTCAAGTGGTTCCAGTCTCCTAATTTGACAATAATCCAGCTTTTTGGTTTGTTAGAAGGAATTTGTGCAAAAGGCTAATGGTGCTATTTGTTTGTATTAAGAAATTTAGATTCAAGTGCTGTGGTGTAATTGTACAAAAATGTAAATATTTTCAAAATTATATTCTTTGTGCACTGTAGTTTAAACTTTTTCTGGAAATCAATAGAGTTAAGTATCAAACTTTATTATAAAGAGTACCAACAATGCTTAGTAAAGGTAACCAACCTAACTAACCATGCAGGTGATAAATGGAGATGGCTTATCACAAGGCAATAAAAGCTGACTTGTCAGGCACATCGACAGAACGTGGACGTCCATGTCTGAAGCAGACGTTCTTTCAAAACTTCGGGAATCCGTCTGTATAAAACCCAAAGAGGCTACTCTAGAGAAGTACAGTGTCCACTCTGTAGAGGAGTCGTAGTGAATCACTATCAGCAAAGTACAGATAAACTGAAAATAGGAAGTTGAGGTTGATCCTTTTCCAGCATCACTACTCACCTGGCAGACTTGCAGGTTTCCAATGCTTACTTTGCAGACTGTGATCGATACACTGGAGTTAGGACTTCAAAATCAAATTGAAAAGAAAGCTATAGGGGAAAAAAGGAAAAAAGCAAAGGGAAATGTAGAATTGTTGTAATTACTTTTGAAGTACTGTATCAATAGCAGATGTTGAACATTCAGTAGGAATGATAGAACTTGTTCTTCCAAGTAATCATGAATTCCTAAAGTGTTTTACATCTATGGTATAAATTGACATGCACCTCATATTCCTCCGTAGAAACAGCCGAGATCCTTACCGTGAGAGACCAGGGTCGAGTGTATGTAGAGACAGAATTATCCTGTCAGTGCTGAAGGTCAGGATTAAAGGTCAGTGGGGCCAAATACAGATTTCTCCTGTTGCCCTGTTTTACAGATGCCTGTTGCAGGGTAGAATGTTTTGTGTAGTGCTGCTGGATCAGGTCTTGTGCCAGGTGTGAAACCGCAGTGAGTGCAGGTGCTGTACAGGATTGCTGAGTGGCTTGCACATTTCTGCAAACGCAGAAGAACGTTTCTCCATAAGGTGAATGTTGGACGTCCTTTTTCTTGGTATTGCAGGGGAAGAACCTTGTGTTTCATATACTTCGCATTTCTGGTTATTCCAAAATAACATCACAGAGCTTGCTGACATAGGAAGGAGTCTTTGTAGCTGGAGCTATGTGGTTTAGGCAATGTAGCGACTGCAATGGACTGGATTCTAGCCTTTAAAAAAAGAACAAAGCTTTTTGTGTAGCCTGATATGAAAAGGGAGGGTTCTGCGTATCTCCATCTGCCTATAGAACAGCCCGTGTCGTCTTCTGGTGGCAAATGAGATGTCTGACTCAAAGCCCACTGTAGTTTGTGGAAATGTTTTCTGTGATTTCCATGGACAATGGCTGCAGATTTTGTGGGGTTTTTTTAACCTTCATGATTACACAACTACTAACTTTGATACATTTTAAGATTTGCAGAAACTTTTTATAGTGGGTTGCTATATTAAGGCTTGCTCTAATTTGGAGTGTCAGCAGAGATGAGTGGACACAGATTCGGTTGACTCTAGTCTTTTTACCTTATTATGGTGAACATACCCTGCTACTTCTTTTTTTCCTGCTATGGAGCTGAATGATCAACTCCAACCAGGTTGTCCTTTCCAGTCCAGTGACTGTTTTTAGATTCCTGTGACAGCCTCATGAAGTAAGACTTGGTGAACTGTTTCTTGGTACATTTCCTTCAGACTTTTGGTGATGTGTTTTCTGTCTGAAACATTCCTAGTGACGAGTTTTGAAACACTCTTGAAACATAGGGATGCTTGGGATGTGGTTTACTGATGGATACACTACAAGCTGTGGGAATCCTCATTAGCAAGAGGGACATTAGGCTGAGCCTACCTTAGGGACTCACGTCTTGGCACAACTGTAGCAATCCCCAGGCGTGAAAATGTGATCCCGGCAGTGTAGCTGTGCTGGTGCCGTTCTTTAGTGGCGACTGTATCCACACCCATATAAATGTTTTATCCACTATGATTTGTTTTGCTTGCAAGAGTTTTTGTGTTGTACTGACACGAAGCGCACGTTTGTCGGTATGGATGCGCCTGCACAGAAGCTTCACCAGCGCTGCAGGTGGTTGAGGTGTTTCTAGTACAGAGAGAGCCGTAAGTCCGCAGCTGTGCTGTGGGCACCAGTGTCCTTTACCACTCGGGATCCCCGGTTCGGATATCTTTTGGAAATTTATTTTTTCTAGCAGGATTGATCTAGCAGAATTTAATTTTTTGTTTTCCCCTTTTTCCTTAAGACCATGTTGGGTGCTAAGGGAAGGCTTTGTCCCCTCTAGAGTGAATACATATCCGCAGCGGTTTCACAGATGTTCTCTCATCACTGCTGCGCCGCGAGAAGCGTGTCAGCTTTCACTTGTTCGTTTGACTTGTGCATGTGCGGGGACTTCCACTGCATCAGGATTCCCTGGAATGTGAGAGTATCTGGGTAACTAAAAGCGCCTTTCTGGACCCACCAGCTGAGGCGTATGGCATCATGGTTAACGCAAGGGGGACGAAATGGGGAGCTTGCACAGGTTGGGTATGAATCGCCGCCTTAAGATGCGCATTGACACCGTGGTGGTCTTCTGAGGTGACGGGAGGAAACCTCTGTACCCCGGCTGTGGGGGAGACCACCTCAGTTCAGAGTCTGGATGTTGTTTCTTTCTGATCTTGCCACTTTTTTTTTTTTCCCCTGATGGCTGTGAGGGGTTTTTTTAATGAATAAGTATTAAGACAGCCATTAATTTTGGTAAACTAAAATACGAAATTGTTGCAAAAGAATTCCTAGGGTTGTTTCTTAACCAAACTGTTTTACTGGTCTTCCAAAATACTGCTTTAATTTGTGGCAAAGGGAATGTGTTTTCTTTTTCCTTTCGAGGAGCTGCTGTTTCAGTCACTGTACTCACTTTACTGCAATTCTTGATTTATGTATTGAAAAGATTTGCTACAAAAATCTCTGGATATATTTGTGCTGGAAACCCACCTTGTTAAGTTGATACACAAAGCAACTGTCTAGTTTTTTTTTTTTTAACGTATTTGTTCTTGGTTTGTAATTCATTCAAGGATAACTGCATTATTTAATCTGTATTAACAAATCTCCTGTAATGCTGCAGTTTCACATTTATTTTCCTTACAATTTGTAATTATCATGGAAACAATGTCCTTTTTTTGCATTTTACTAGTTGTCTGGTCTATGTTTTTAACTTACCTTCACTAATAGTAATTTTTGGTTGTATCATTTGTTAGAATAAAGACCAAAATATGCTGTTTGATTCTGAAACTGGTCAACATATGAAAATCAAGTTTTAATTTTCCGTCACAGTACTTTTCACAGAATCACTAAGGTTGGAAAGGACCTTCAAGATCATCAAGTCCAACCATTTTCAGACTATAAATACACTGTAGACATGCATCTCTGTGCAGGGATTCGATCTGAGGGGAAAAGTTCACACTGCTATGTTCTGCAAGGGCATTTGCTTGGTCATTTTTATAAAGCCAGAAATGTGCTCATTTAAATAAAGAGAGTGACAACTGCTTGTAATGGTAGTCTCTTGGAAGAACTGCAGATGGCTTAGGAGAGCAAACCCTGGAACTTCTGAAGCTTCATTTTGCTTTGTAGAAGTTGTTTTAGTTTTCAGTTTTGGGGTTTTTTTTTAACTTGGAATTTGTTCTGTTCTCTCATCAACAGTTGAGCTTGCAGAGCAGAGACCAGCCATCCTTCTGTAGTTAGGGATTTGCTAACTTCTAAAAATCTCATCTTTATATTCTGGAGCTACAGAAAGTGCTTTAAACATGAGTAGTTAAAAACATATGTCAGTGAATGGTGCAGTTGTAGCCTTTATGTCGCTAGAACACACCATTAAATATTGTGGGTAGCTACAAGCCTGGCTTTTGCTGTGAAGTAGTACTCTTGAATTGTGTATGACAACACCTGCTAGGGCCTTTCCAGATCGATTTCTGTGAAGGGCCCACTGAGCAAGACATTTTTCTTTCTTTTGCATAGGGTGAGTCATCACTGTATGATGGCCCAGCTACTGAAATAGAATCCTCCACCAGCACCAGAGTGTGTAACTTTCTCCATTGTGGCTGTGGTATTTCATTCTCATTTCACACGTGTCTGACACCGTCATTCCAAATGAAGGGTCGAATATGGTGAGCTGCAGGCTGACAGGGTACCTGAGAGTTGGAACAAAATCACTACCGCCACTTTTAGTTCCAGTTCAGAGCAGGTGACTCATTCCTCAAGTTCAGAGGGAACATGCTTTCAGCCATGTTGATGCTGATGTGCCAACAGAAGAGCTGGACTATTGGGGAGCCAAGTGAAAGCTGAAATCTGACAGTAGCAAATAGAAGGCTGATGCAAGAATGAATCGTATTTGATAGGAAAACATTGGGGGTTTTAAGAACTCAGGTAGCAGAAACAATAGCTACTGTAACATTTAATGTAGCATGGGCTTCAACAACTGCGGCTCACAGAAGAGCATCATTCACCTCTGGTCTGGTTCCCAGCTGGCATTTTCCAACAGCTTTAGGTTTGGTCTAAAACTAGTTGCCCAGCTTTGGCTGCAGCCAGCCCCCAGCCTCTGGGAGAAAAGCAAGGAACTGCTCTCCCTCACCCTTCAGTTCACAGTTAGCAAGTTGCTCTGTTACAGCACTTCAGTCCATATCTGTGAGCAGCCACAGGTGCTGCCTCCCCCCTGTACAGCCATGGCTGCCTGGGTGTCTCTACAGTTTAAAGTGGAAAAACTCCTGCAAGCCACTGCTGTCGGTTAACACACCTGTAAGAACACCAGGGGCAGCTGCCAGTAAACCAGGATTGTACTACTTCACTAATGCAGAGACATGGAAGGCCTTGCCTCAAGAGGGCAAGGGAGCAGATGCTCCATAATAATCAGCAAACCAACTTTGAATTACTGAAATGTGAAGTTGTTGTTCTGGCTTGGTGCTCTAACTGTGCGACACACGATGCAGCCACCCGGGAGAGGAAGCTCTGGTACAGGTTGAAGCAGCGCAGAGGGCAGCAGCGGCATGTCTGTGACACCGCCGGAGGGGAACATGGCAAAGGGTCACACAGGCAGCTCTTGCTGCACCTATTACCCTGAAAGGCAATACCCCAAAACCAGGTAAGGTAATGTGCCTCGTTAACAAACGTTGTCTATGCCCTCATGCATCTCCCCAGTTTGTATCTGGGCTTGGTTAATGCGCAACACAGACTTGGGCTGTTAGTAAAATAAACTAGAAACAACGTAATTGAGTTACATCTAGCCCTCGAGCGACCGACCGTCCTGAGCTCAATACCCTGGCTTACAGCACATGAATGACTTTCACAACAACACAGTCTAAGGACCAAGGAGTTTTACTTTATTACTAAGAATCAGTTTATGTTCTTGTACTTCACATATAAATATCCTCAGGACAACAAAAAAGGCACATTATGAAGACATCATGCACCCTGTCTGTGTCTTTTTATTACAAGAACTATCTCCGCTAGAAATAAAAGCCTAGAACTGGTTGTATGACATATACCTCTCTGTGTTGACAAAATATTCAAAACAGTTGGTAAAAATTTACATTTCTACAAATTCTAAAAATGACACTGCATATCTAAATGGCAAGTTCCACTTCGCCTGGGGCAAGAGGACAGTTTAAAAAGAAGGTGGTTTGACTCACCAGATTCACGGAGTTCAAGCACCACTTATAGTTTCATTCCAAAACTTCCTAACTTAAACCAGTAAGTTTTTAGTTGATGTTAACAGCCTACTTCATATGCACAAAGCATTCGCTGCTTCCTGTTTCTGCTAGTCTTCCATTACCATCCTGAAGAGGTGAATGTTCATATTTCAATGAAAATACAAAAAATTTTCACAAATACATATTTCTTTTTAAAAGTACCTGTCCCATAATACCTCTAGGCTCCCATTTATGTCCATTCCCTTCATTCCCCCAAAAAGTAAAATAATTCTATCTTTAGTGTAACATACTTAACTAGAGCTAAAATGGCAGGCTTGGCAGCTTTGTCACTGCACTTACAGTTTTTGAAGAGATGGAGTTGTTACGGCCTTTTTAAAATTGGTAGATGAAGCAAAACGTATACTCTACGTGAATAAGGTAAAGTTTCATGCATTCTGTGGTGTAAATAAATACCAGCAGAGTTTTATAGGAACATAAGTTTAAGGGTTTTATTATCAAAGTTTTGTAAAACAATTTCAGAAACTGTACATCAACATGGCACAGACTGTAGCCTACTTTTGTCTTTTTACCTGCACACAAGTAAAAGCTCTTGAAGTTCTGTAACTAAGAAAACAGCTTGCCTAACTACTTTGCATATAACATGGAATCACTGTGTGCATAAGATTACTACTGCAGTGACAGTAAACACAAATTTATTAGTTTATACAACTTGAGATCAAGTAAAAAGTACATTATCAAGTAGACTTGCTTTTAAAAGCATACGAAGGTCAACTTTAAAATGCACTACCTTTTTGCCATGTGTTTAGCTCATTAACAAATAAAACGACCTGGATTATGAAAACTGCACAAATCAACCTTTAATCACTGGGCACTGATCAAGCAGAGATTTTTACTTCCCAAGGCTCAAGAAGAAAAGTTAAGAACCATTACCACTTGCCTGAGATGGATTTGAACTGACAGATTAAAAAAAGCCCTCAAAAAGGTTAGTGCATTTTAACTTGGTCAAAGCCAAACAAAACCCACCAGGAAAAACAAAACAGAACAACCCAACCCCAGCCACATGGCTTAAAGAAAACAAAAACAAAAACTTATCTCTATCAGAATGCCTATTTTCAGATGTACTGTCAATTTTTTTCCTGTAGTCACATTTAAGATCCTTAAGTAGATCCACCATATGTTGTAGGACTTCAGAACATTTAGGATGTTTCTGCCACAATCAACATGCAGTCAGTGCATTCCCTATACTGCTCTATTACTGCAATGAATCAAATTCTAGAAACACTATCATAAGTGAGCTGATTTACTAAAGGAGATCATACAACAAACAGTCCATGCCTGCTGTAGATGCATGCAGCTTTTTACTTTTGCTTGAAGCACCACCGAGTTAGTAAAAATTGCTTGGCTACGCAATCCCTTTCGGCCGTAACAAGAATGGTTACCTTTCTATAAAGCTTTTGATGTGAGTTAGTATCAGGAGATTTACAAACCATGTATAGCTGTATACATCTAGATTTAGGATTAACGAGTACAGCATAAAAGAATCACACAGGAATGACACTGATGCACATCTGCAGCTGTGTTCACTGCAAAGGCAAAATTCAGTCACTCATATCCATGTCCTCCTCATGATGATCATCCCCATTCACTTTGGATTCCCTTGCTGAATCTCCACTTCCTTTATCAGCGGCAGACTCCTTTACCTTAGGGGAGGATGAATCTGCCATTTTCTTTTCTTCCTTCTTCTCCTTCTCGCTGTCATATCCTTGTTCCTCTTCGTCATAATCCCTTGTGACCTGCTTTGCAGAGATAAAAAAAAAGGTAAAATTGCTTTCAAAGCCCCTGTTGGTTAAAGGTTAAAACTACAGTATAGGCAGTGAAGTTAAACAGGTTTTTAAACATACTTTCACATCTTTATCACTCTCGGATTTTCGTTCTCGATCCTTCTCTTTGTCTTTGCTTTTTTTTTTCTTGCTTGTTGACCGTTCCCTCTCATCTCTACTTCTCTCCTTGTCTTTATCCTTCTTTTTTTCCTTTTTATGTCTACAACGATAAAGTACATGGAAGAATGAAAACCACAATAACACCATTCTGTAACTAGAACACAGACCATGTCCAGAGTGTTACCCATAGTTCATCACAAATCAAAAGGGAGAAAGAGCAGTGTGCACTAAGAGAACGCCGTTCGCTTTCAGAAAATAACCAAACATCCCCACTTCTTAGCTCTGGATCACACACAACCACCACAAAGCAAAGTCTAAGAAACACCATGTCAAGACTGGCAATGCTATAGTGTTTTATGAAGGAGCACCTCAAGTTCCCTGTTTAGAGAGAAGATCACAAAATGTCCAGGCCCACCCAAAAGTGAGTTGATTCCTACTGTACAGAGCCAAATGGGCCAGGAACTCCAGGATACTCCAGGTATCTCCTTACCCCTGGAATACCTCACGCTGGAAGTTCTTGGGCACTAAGAGAGAAGCTCTATGCTTGAAGCTGATTAAATTATGATAAAAGCAGTAGGAGACAGCAGAGATCCACTCTCTCAAGAAGTCAACCTATGGGCTGGGTATAAGGAACAAGCCAAACACACACCATCTTCAGAATAACCCCACCATGACCTTTGCTACAGGTCACATCTTCAGAATTTTCCACCCAGACACTTTTTTTTTTTTTTCCAGCCAAGAGGCTTACTGACCTTCTTGGAGACGGGGACCGGGACATTTTCCTTTTAGGAGACCTAGGTTTTTTAGGTGACCGTGTTCCACTCCTACTTCTTCTACGTCGTCTTTCTCTGCAGGAAAGAGATGTCAAAGTTTGGTGGGGTTTTTTGGGGTTTTGGGGGGTTTTTTGTTTGTTTGTTTTTTTTAAAGCTACAAATACATCTCTGGCTCAAAAACCAGCACTGCTCAAAAGGCAGTAAATATGTATAACTCAAAATGCATATTTATTATTAGCAGTACTGCAAAGCCCACACAGTTGCTGATCAGCAGAGGAAGTTGTTTTCCTGTTCTACCTCCACCTTCATGAACAAACTGCTAGCTTAGACTGTATTAGGAATACTGATTCTTTTTACAAAGAGAAACAAAACAGTTTGTACTTGTTAATATTGCAAGTTAATTTTGGAAGCTTTTAAAAAAAGAATGGCACAGATTTTGTATGCATTTATTCCATACATCAGG